CACGTGGGCGACTTTCTACGTTGTTGTTGATGTGATTTTTTTTTTTTAAGAAGGGGGGTGAATTATTTATTTTATGCCTCTTTGAAACTAGGAATTGTAACTACTTCCACATCCTTAAGCCTTATTGTGACCTTTGAGTCAAGGTCAAAGGTCAAGGGTCAAGGTCATTCAAAAAAAAAAATCTTTACTTTCTGTATTTTTACCTGATACTGGAGCTGGATGCATGTCCTAACTTTTCTATTTGACCCAATGTCAAGGTCAAAGGTCAAGGTCAAAGTTCAAGGTCGTTTGGTGAATTGCTATTTTTTACACATATATAAGGGATTTCTTATGTTTTTAAATGACTTTGACCTTTGACCTTGACCTATATTTCAAGGTCAAAGGTCAAATATGCCGAAGCAGTTGGTACCATGTCTCTAGGATACACCGTTTTAAAAATAAGTTAATTAAATGTAAGTAGCGTAAACTTTCAGGGGCAGTAACTCATACAAGGGTCCAAAGAATGCTTTTGCAATGATAGAATAAAGAGAGTACTAAATGAGTCAAAGACACTGATGAAGGTTTGGAATCTCTACGGTTTACAGTTTCGGAGGAGTAGCGATAACAAGGTTTTGTTTCAAAAGGGGTGACAACTTTTGAATGGGTCAAGCTCGGGGGACAAGAATGAAATCTTTCAAATAGTTTTAGGACATATTATAGATGCAAAGATATTCAGTATATGTTGAAAGACAAAAGAGATATCAAAAAAGCTAATTTTCTCATATTTTGAATGACCTTGACCTTTGACCTTCACAAAAATTTCAAGGTCAGAGGTCACAAAATCTAATGCAGTTGGTCCCATGTCTTTACGACTTATCGTTTAGAGAATTTTGTCATTATTCGTAAACATCAAAAACTCTCAGGGGCAGTAATTTATTAAAGGGCTCGACAAATCGTTTCGCAATGAAAAGATTGAAAAGTCCTCTCGAGTAGTCGAAAACATTGGTGAAGGTTCTGTATCTCTACGGTTTACGGTTTCGAAGGAGTAGCGATAACAGGCTATTCTTGCGAAAGGGGCAATAACTTCGTAAGAGGTCATGGGTCAAACACGGGGGGTCGTTTTTCGAAATAACTTTTAATGTCCAGTATCATGAACTATAAAGTTTTTCGATAAGTCTTGCGGTTTCAAAAGTCCGGGAAGAAAAAAAATAATAATAATAAACATAAGCATTTCAAGAGGCCTTTCCACAGAAAGGTGGAAAGACCTAATAAAATAAATTCTCCAAAATTGTCCTGAGAAAGACGATGCATGCACATTAAGTTTTTAATCACACGATTTTTATCGCATTAAAACATTGCAATTGTTGCCGAACGCTGAAGTATAAGAGATATTTTTTTAGTTGGAAAATAAAAATGTTTATTCTTATTTGATAACAAATCAGAGAAAACTTCTGACTTATAGAATGAATTAAAGTGGTTGTAACATCCATTCATATATCTCCGTGTTAAGGCGATTTCCTGTAAAGTAATGAAAAAAAAAATAATAATTACATAGGTCAGTGGACGTTTTTCATTTATACGCTCGTATTTTAAATTTTTAATACAATAATATATTATGTGTCATTTCTATTTTACATGATGATTTATCAGGCCCGTAAGAAGCAAATTCGGTTGGGGGGGGGGGGGGCACAGCCATACGTTGAGGGGGCACTACCAAAAATTTCCTGACAAGCAAAAAAAAAAAAAAAAAAAAAAAAAAAAGATCATCAGACTTTTTATTGCGGGGACACAAGCATATAGTATCTATGTTTACTATGATAATCTATATATCGGCAAAATTATTGGGGAGGGGGGCAGGGCCCCCTTGCCCCCCCCTCGGTTCCTACGGCCATGTTTACTGAGCAGACTTCTGCATTTATCTGTAGATGGCCGTGATTATACTCGGACAAGATAATACAAAGATACATATTCATATTATTAAATTCAATTTTCAGAACTTGATATTCAAGTAATATGCTATTATAGTTTTTATTAAACAGACTAATGAGAGAGAGAGAGAGAGAGAGAGAGAGAGAGAGAGAGAAATATTCCGTTTTAGCTAGCCCCCCCCCTCCCATTTCAGGCTTCACTACATGTTTGTACCTATATCAAACAAAAACTCTGAATTTTTTTTCTAAGTATATCAGACAGTGAAAGTAACTTCTTCTTTTTTTATCAACAAATCAAATCCATTTGTTTGACAGACATACTCGTTTTTATTTTCCTGCTTCAAGTTCACACGAAGTCCACGTGCTTGTCCTGTCAATCAAAATCATTCGACACTGTGCAGGTGTGAAAGTTTCGTCACATCGAAGACGAAGTGCGAGTATTTCCAACAAGTTATAACATTTATTTTTATCATTTCTAGATTTGATTCCAACATTTGAATAATAATTGAATAAAATACATAGGGCATTAACACTTGAATTTGAAACATACTCTCTGCCAATTCCAAATACCACCGCCGACACGTGTACATTTTGAACTACTATTGTTTTGTGACTTTTTTAGATGCCTGTTTGTTTTGAGACTGAAGTTTTTGTTCTAAAAAAGACCTTAACTTTTTTTTTTTAAATGTTAATTAAAATATTCTGGAAATAAAATACAATACTGAGTAAGTAACCGATTTAGGGGGAAAAGGGGGGGGGGGGTATTAATCATATGGAATGACAAACATATAAAGTTACGGTGAAGAAAGATTTTTTTTTTCTCTATAACTTTAGACTTTACATATTAAAGTAGAGAAAATTCTGTAGTGCATTACATTTTAAATAAATATTTTCTTTAACCACACCATCAATTTAATTCGCTCTAAAGATAATAAATTAATACGATATCCGCAGTACTATGTATAACTCTCAGAACTAGTTCTAACATATTTTCTGTAGTAATTGAAAAAAAAAAGTGTTATAAATAAATATTTTCGTAATTTTGCTGCATAATTAGACTTGGATAATTATATCTCCATTAACGATTTGTCGTCTTTAACAAAACAACAAAATGTTGCAGTGCTTGAAGTATTTGCACATTCAGCATTGTTCTACATAGGTACAGAATGTGCTTATAACAACATTTATTTTCCAGAGTAATTTAATAAATAACCTAACAGCTAAGTTAGAATAATAAAAAATATATATCGTAGATATTTTCCCCCATGAAATAATGATTCTTCAAACACGATATGTAAGTTATTAAATTAAAAAACCTGTAGCTCCTAACCTACAAAAAGATAAGTCCTTTCACTACAGAGTTCCGAATGACAATGAAAACTGAACGATAGGTGAACGCTGAACGCAAGGTGAACGCAAAGTGAACGGAACGAAGAGCGAACGCTGAACGCTTTGTGAACGGTGAACGCGAGCGCACGGTGAACGGTGAACGCAAAGCTGTGAACGGAGAGCGAACGGTGAACGCACGGTGAACGAACGGTGAACGAACGGTGAGCGAACGGAAAAATGGGAAAGTAGAACGTTTCAGGGACTGTATCAAAAAGCCTGGACTATAATTTATCGTGGGGAATGGTTGTGTACAAAGTTGAAAAGTCGTAAGTTTTTAAGCTGTTGATTTTGGTAAAATCTTGTGATTCCAAATTTTCCAAAAGTTCCTTGGAATTTTTAAGTATCCACATCTGATTTTCACCACTTCTCGAATATATTGTTCAAAGTACTCTTGAAGTTTCTCCTTCACCACTGTTAATATCTTAGTGAGGAGTAAAGATAGAGTCTTGGTTGAACATTTACTGGAACCCGCTATGTATCTTTGTTTGTAAGGATTTTTATGAAGTTTCGGAATCCAATATAAATATGGTAATTCAAATTCATTTTGGTTGTTTGGAATATTAAAAATATTCAAAACTGACATATGATTTTGAAGAATTTCTTCCCTAGAAAGGGAACTATGAGTATAAGTTGGATTACCACTTGTAGAATTAAATCCAAGTTCCTCTAAAATACATTTAATATAATGAGCCTTACAAACAAAGACAATGTTGTTACCTGCTTTGTCAGCAGGGACCAGTACGTACTGATCATGTAATCTATCTAATTCTTTTTTCACTTCTGGATTATTGAATACAGAAGGATAGATGGTTTTCATATTGCCTCTCAATCTTTTAATGCGCGATTTTAACATACATCTGATACATTTAATCCATTCTGACAAAGTGTCAAGGTCTTCTTTTTCATGCCTGGTCCATCGCCTGGCGTAGTCCTCTACAGAATTCATAATATTTATGAAATTCCGACGGCAGTTGAAGGATCTGGGTTCCCTAAATTTAGGACCTTTTAAAATTAGTGATCTAAGGTCCTCATTATTAACTATATTTATGTCACCAGTAATAACGTGTCCAGCAGGACTATAGTCATAGAGCGAAGAAGAACATGAACACGATGAAGGATGTGTCTATCAAATGCGTCCAGAAATTCGAAGTTTCAATAACTTCCAGATAAAATAAGATTTTTATCAAATTTTCGTATGAAATGCTATAGCAACATATAAGTCAGGAAATTATACAGAAAATTTGAGTAAATATTAACTTCAAATCTGTGTCTAAGCACCTTTAAATGTGCTTCTGAGACTAAAAGATACCAATCTGAGAGGGAATGAGATTGGTTTATTAAAGAGCTCAAGAACTATTGTTTCATTAGCCCACATTGGGATAGTAACAAATGGGGTAAGTACAGACATAAGCAGTAATTAGATCAACATTTAGTTTTGTGACTGGACATTAAATTAATTATTTTGCTGATCCCTAATCATCTTATGTCTCTTGCTTTTGGGCAACACGGCTTCATTTATCAGCTTATTTCATATTCGAACTACATTGATCCTTTATAGTTTTACATTATACTCAGATGAACGTTAAGGCCCGTAGGCCTGTTCTTTAAAGTAAGTAATCTCTTCTTAGAGCACAATGTGTAGGAGTTTCCAAAATGCAGAATAGTAAGCATTAGAAATCAAAAGAGTAAAAAATTAACACTAAATGTGCATACCAGTATATATCTGAGCTGAATCAATCAATTATTGTATACACGAATTTCAATTGTGCAAATTCAGTGCTATAAAAAGAATAGTCTGTGTATTATCTATCATAAGTAGAATTCAGTTGGAGCATTCATGGCATAATATTGTGAAAGCTATGTAACTAATATCGGATAAAACGTCCGCCATCAATTACAATGTCCTGTCCAGTTATATATGATGATTTGTCAGAGGCCAAGAATGAGACAGCATTGGCAACATCTTCCGGCTCACCATTCCGTCCAGAAGGATTTTCTTGTTCAGATGTTGCCATCAACTGAAACAGAATTAAATCTTAACATTCAATTTTCAAATCTCTCTCTCTCTCTCTCTCTCTCTCTCTCTCTCTCTTAGCGGGAGGGGTTTTAATTTCAAGTTTTATCTATATTTTTATAAATGTTATATCTGGCAGCTTTGAACCAATTGCAATAACGCTGTTTTCATACATTCTCCAAATTTGATTAGAGATTTAGATCCTCATTAGGTTAAGAAATTCGTCCCATCACAGTGGATACCGTTTAGAGATTTTTAAGTGGGGGTAAAATTTGGCATTTTGCTTGCTCAAACGTACGCCAATAATCTTGGAGGATTTTATTTTAGTGGGCACATGATTTTATGACTGTAAAAGTAGACTAAGAGGAATACTGAATATTTTCTGCTAACAGAACGAGTGAGAAGAATTGTAGCGTTACCCTTTCCTACCATCCATAGCAATCTCCGACATCAAAATAGATAAACGTCACACATTCGGATTTTTACGCCCCGCCATACAATGGCCGGGGGCATATAATGTTAACCTGTTCCTTCATTCTGTAATTCCTTCAACCCGACATCATTGTCTTTCCGTTCATTATCTTGGTAACATTGCACACATTCACCTCAAATTTACATATGGATTCGTCATAGAAATACGCAGGTTCGAATTTGGTCATGGTCCGATGATTTTTGAAAGAGTTATCCCTGTTGAACTTAGAAACAAAAAATAAAGAAATTTTCAGTTTCCGCTCTCAAACTTTTGTAGGGATGTATGAATGAGGTTGAAATTGCATGTGCAGGTATTTTACAAGAAAATACAGGTCAAAATCGAATTTGGTTGTGGTCCGCTGATTTTTGACAGAATTATCCCTCTTGAACTTAAAAAAATTAGAAATTTGTCAGTTTCCACTAAATTGTGTAGGGATGTATGTATATATGCAGGTATTTTACCAGAAAATAGAGGCCAAGTTTGAATTTTTGGTCTTGGACCGATGATTTTTGACAGAATCATTCCTATTGAACTTAGATATTTTTTTTTTTAAATCACTTTCTGCTTTTTTGCTTTTGTAGGAGACTAGTATTGCTAATTAATGCAATACTCTGAGAATGTTTGTTAATATCTGTATGAAACTTTCGTCTAATATATAATGCATATAGTTGAGGGTAACATTGAAAATTTTCACCCCAAGAAAACATACCACTTTCAACCTTTATCATATTGTACGTTTAGAATTTACTAGATGGAGGTAAATGCAAAATTTACAACATAATAAATTTATGTACATATATCCAATACTAAACATTCTAAAACCTTCTCTATTTCTGAAGACTTGTCTTCTCAAATAGAGTTGCACAGTGTCAATTTGACAACGATTCCTTGTCCGATTCTTGCAGCCAACGTCTTTCTTTTTTCGCTTATTTACAAACTTTATAAACTGTTTCTGTCATTTCATATTTGTGACATACGTTTTTGTGGAAGTGATTTCATGCTCAGAACATTTCATAACAGCCCAGTGTGTCCCCTATGTCAACACGCTGGCCATTTTTCAAGTCAAATTTCAAACCAAACCGAGCATATACAACCTAATTAAAGGAAAAGTAGTTAACTATACCATTTTAAGATTTTTTAATATTTCTATTCCCGAATTTCTCAGTAGTAAATACTAAATTTGTAAATTTTGAAATAATATTTATCGCTTTTTAATTGCTATATTGGGGGTATTGCGCTGCCTTACATCGGGAAATAGGTACATATACATGTATTTCATTTAATGGGGTTTATCTGCTTAATTCTTCTATACATGTCGGCGAATCTATTACATATTGTTAGTTTAATCTATTTCCAAATTTACATTAATTCATGACACCGGGTTCCTACAAAAAAAGCCCGCTTCTCTAAGGAATGTTCGGACAACCCTCATGACTCACCTTATTAAGTAATTCTTCGTCTGTTATATTATGTCTCGCGAGGTTACTTCTTGTTATTCCTGGTCTAAAAATAAAAACTAAAGATTGTATTAAAATATATATAAATGAATTCAAATAGAGCTGTATTATATAAATTTTTTGTACCTCACGCTATTTGCCCGAATTCCAAAGGGTGCTAATTCTGAAAAAGCAATTAGATATGTTATTCATTACACATCTACAGAACATACTAGTAGTGTATACTGTTTTGATTAATTCTTTTATGATGATGAGGGTTTTATAAAGTTCAATATTAATACCAATAGCTAAATTTCTGGTGAATGCATCCATTGCTGCTTTGGACATACAGTAGGAACAATTTCCAGATATCTACCATAAAACATAGAATATAAAATAAACAAGAGGCCCATGGGCCACATTGCTCACCTGAGCATTTTGGCTAGAGAAAAGCAGAGATTAGTTAATTATTGAGAAGTTTAAATATAAAAATCCCCCCTCCCGGGAGTCGTGATTTGAAGAATTTGAATCTACACTAACTGAGGATGCTTCTATACATGTATTTCTTTGACTAATCAATGCTTTAAAAGATTTTTTAAGATTTAGTTTGATCTCCTATTGTGACCCCACCCCTAGCCGTGGAGGGAGGGGGGGGTGTCATGATTTGAAAAAAATCTTTAATTTATGCATACTGAGGATGCTTTCATATAAATTAAGTCTAAACATGGCCTTGCTGTTTTTCAGGAGAACATTTTGAACAATTTTTATTGATATTCCAATGTAAAAAGTTGATCCACTGTTGTGACCCTGTCCTACCCCCGGGGATCACGACTCGAAAAAATTTGAATCTACACTTTCTGAGGATACTTCTATATTAGTAAGACTAATGTGACTTTGCTGTTCTTGAGGAAAAAGTATTATTTTGACCACCCATTGTGGCCCTATCCTTGCCCCGGGGGTCATGATTTGGTCAAACTTGAGTCTACACCACCTGAGGATTCTTCCATATATATTAATATATAAGGACCTAATCGTATGCTTTTAAAAATTGTAATATTATGAAAAATATTATCTACAACCTTGTTTATTAAAATACTGAACATTATAAATGGTGTTGCAAGCATATATATATTTAGCGATGTTAAGAATTGAAATTCAAATACAGCGATATGCATATTTCAATCGGATTTCGGTGTCATACTACTGACGTCATATGCGACAATTCAGTGATAGAGAGATAGGAATATGCACACTATTAACGGAGTTAACAACGACCAATGCAATATAAAAATATGAAAAATGCTGAAAAAATAATTATTTACGTGCTTTTCAATTACTATAGAAATTTGAACTCGTTTTAATTTTAAGTATAATCTTGATTAAAGATAAAAAATATGAGTATACATGAGTGTACATAGCGGCTTCATATCGGTAAGAAAATAAAAAAATGATGCTTATGCACGAAAAGAGTTGCAAAATTACTGCCGGGCTTCTTGAATTTTATTGTAGTCTATGATTATAAGAGAAAAGGTAATAAATAAACATCACCGTTGACCACCTAGACTCTTCTACGAGTATTACATATTCTAATTATCCCCCGGCGCCCTTCTGAAATTGAATTTAATTCAGTCGCTTATTTACAATTTAACTTGAGTAAAATTAATGTTTTGTAATAGATAGGTTTTAAATAAATTTATTTTATTTTACCAAATCTACTCCTATTTGAAAAATTAATCTGCTTTTTCTGTTTGTTAGTTAAACATTTGTATTTGTAATGTTTTGTAATAGAAAAGTTTTTATTCGAGATCGCCATTATTTGCAAAATATGTGCAAATATATTTGAATAAATTGATATTTCATTACAAATAAACAATATTAAAGACTCTACAATGTTGAATGTGTGAATAATAAAGGACAAGTGACAAATCACTTTTTATAAATAACTGTTTATAGGTCCTTTCAGAAATAATCTTAACCGGGTGACTACAACGAAGTGAAATAGTCGGATCTGGCTTTATTTAGACTTATGTAAATAACTGATCGGCCATTGTCGCCTATGACGTATCACGGTCACGTGATCGCTATCTAATTATATCGGATTTTTAATTGAGGGATTTTTATTTGAGTCAAATACTGTTTAATGAACGCGGTATATTCGCACTAAAACACAAATCTGAGAAACTCTTTAAAAACAAAAATCTGATAGACTATGATCATAAGGAATGTAATACGCATTTAATTTCAAGTAATTTAGAAACATAAATAAGTCTTTTAAATTAATATGATAATTTAAGATATTAACATGATCAATGATGGCTTTGCTGATCTTGAGAACAGATTTTTAAGGATTTTGCGTGTAAAACATCAGTCGCCTATTTTGGCCCTATCCTACCCCTGGGGATCATAATTTGAACAAACTTGAATCTACACCATTTAAGGATGCTTCCATATTAATACTTCATGGTTCTGCTTTTCTTAAGAATAAGATTTTTAAAGATTTTCATATATATTCCTACGTAAAAATTTGATCGCCTATTGTGACCCCACCCTACCTGAAGGTGTCTTAAATTTAACAAACTTAAACCTACACCACCCGAGGATATTTTCGTATTCATGACCAATCATGGGCTTGCTTTTCTGGAGGAGAAGATTTTTTTTAAAGATTTTCCCAATATATTTTCATGTAAAACTTTGATCGGCCATTGTAACTCCACCCTACCTCTTAGGGTCATGATTTGATCATGTTTTCATCAAACTTAACACTATAACACTACTAACAGTAACACTATGTAATGAATGTTTCACATAAGTTTCACCTTTTCTATCCTAGTGGTTCTAAAGAGATTTTTAAAGATTTTCTCTTTCTAAAACCACGCTTGCTCATTGTGGCCCAGCTCTAGCCGTGGGTCATGTTCTGAACAAACTATGAAATGAGCTTTCACCTAAGTTTCAACTTTTTCGGGCCAGTGGTTCTTGTGAAGAAGTTTTTTAAAAAAGGTTCCGCCAAATTTTCACAAATTCTGTATTATCTCCCCTTGAAAGAGGAATTGCCTTCATTTTGAACATACAAATTCCCTTTACCCAAGGATGCTTTTGCCTACTTTGGTTAACTTTGGTCCAGTGGTTCCTGGTAGGAAGTCAAAAATGTGAAAAGTGTGCAGACAACAGACAGCACACGACAGACGATAGACTGGCACCGGACACTCCTCGATCAGAAAAGATCACGAGAGCCTTTGACCTAGGTGAACAATAAATTTTACATATATCAAGAAAAAACTTGTTTGTATTAAATTACATGTTTTCTACATTTTTAGGAAATAAAAACCTGTACTACCCAGAAGACAGTGGTTGAAAGTACACTTGAATTGTTGATGATGCAGCCTGAAAGAAAGACGTTTTGAAATTTAACTGAGAAAAATGATTAAATTATTATAGGTCAACAATTTTCAATTGTAAGAGTTCTAGATGATTGGTCTTGAGCTCGGGCTGGGGGATTCCGGATGTAGATGTGTAAGAACACCTTTCAATAATCTTTAAATTAACTGAGACTGGTAGAGACGTGCATATGGGTGAAACCAACAACAACTCTGGGGTACTGATTTCGGCTTTAATCGAACACACTTTCGGAATTCTTGATCTGAGGAGACAGGTCTGATTGGCCTCATTTGTTCGGTGTATGCACACTCCTATCTTGATTGGGAATACATGAAAGACTCAGTCATGTTTTTGCTTGTAAAGAATTCTTAGGTAAATACCTCCCGATCCAATTTTTCACTTTGTTGTGCCAACAACTAACAACAACAACTAAGATTCTCTCACACTTACCCTTCGTCGCCTTCAGATGTGGTATAGCCAGCTGGGTAAGGAAGTATGCCGACTTTATGTTGACGTTCATAATTTCATCAAAGTTTTCTTCTGTTTCTATTGATATATCCATGGACTTTGCCATTCCCGCATTATTTACCTTGTAATAAAAATTAATGCAGTAGTAGGCATGCTTATGAAGCTATCTGGACTGACTAAGATATATCCTTGGACGAACTTACGACACATCTTATTTTTTTAGAGAGGCCAACAAAGTAACACTATCTAAGGAGACTTCCTAATCTTTGTTCCAACATTACGACAACGAGCTTATCTTAAGACATATCTCATGTGATTTAAGAAGCGCTGGTCCCAACAAAACAACATGGGATTGTGGATTTAGGGGGATTTAAGAGGATGTACTCCCCAGGGTTCTCCACATTTGAAAATTTAACCATGGAGGAAGCTGCACGAAAGCAAAATGTGATCGAAAGCAGAAACGAGTGTTAGACTCTCTATTAAGATTCATTAATCAATAATTGATTTCACAAAACTTAATCACTGCAAAACAAAAATTGAAATACCCCCCCCCCTTTTTTTAAAAATAAAATAAATAAAAATAAGACAATAAAAAGAATTATGTGTCTTACTTTACAAAAGTACCAAATGTACCAAAATTAAACCAAAACTGTAGTGTTTTTGAAATAATTTCATATTTTTTTTAAATTTTAATATAATAACCATTGCAACAATGTTCGTCGAATTCTATTCAAAAACCAATATACAGAATTGATCTTAGCTGTTGCATGACAAGTTTTATTTAAATAGGGCCAAAACTAATGAAGGAGTAGTATTTTGAAGAAAGAAGTTTACAGACCACAAAGGAACGAACACCGACATCTTAACATTGCTTGAGCTTTTAACTGTATGTTTTTCTAAACGTTTCTACACTGCATTTTTGCCGATTTTCCTACATTGTTTACTTCTAGATGAAATTAGCGCCAGGCGACGTTTCAACGGGAGGTAACTCTAAAATTTAGACGGTGATTGGCGTTCATGTCCATTTTATCAGAAAGGTAATATCAATATTTAAAAACGGAGCAATAGGATTAAATAAGAAATCGTTACGTTACTGCGCGCTATGTCTTATCTTTAAGTTTTGTATATCTGTAGATTATATCTACGTAAAACTTTGATCACTTATGCTGGCCCCACCCTACCACCAGGGGTCATGATATGAAAAAATTTAAAATGACACTATCTGAGGATGTCTCCATATCAATATGACTAATCAAGGTTTTGCTGTTCTCGAGAAGATGACTTTTTAAGATTTTTTCATAGATATTTTTATGTAACTAATGTGACCCAACCCTACCCCTCGGGGTTATGACTAGAAAAATGTTGAGTCTTCACTATCTCAACATAGTTAAGACACATAACTATAAACTTCGATAGCTCACAAAAACTTATGTAAAAGATAATTACCAGAACATCTAGTTTTCCAAACTGTTTTATTGTTTGATCCACTAATGACCTTCTATAATCTCTGGATGTAATGTCACCCACGGAAAACAGTATCTGTTGATTAAAAAAAATGTTTACTTCTTTAAAAAAATTATAATTTATATTATAAATTTATTCAGTAAATGGCTTACTTTCTCCGGTGATAAACCCTCCTTCAGACATTTTTCCTTTACAGTCTCTAAGTTGACCTCATTTCTTCCCGTCAATGATAAACTTGCTCCGCACCTTGCGAGAAGGACGGCAATGCCCTCCCCAATACCAGAGCTGGCACCTGTAGGGCATAATCATTGAATTTTCTCGCCATGTCTGCTATTTTGACATATATTTTTAATAATTTCAGTTTGTCTTACCGGTGATTAGAAAAACCTTTCCTTTGTGGTCGTCCATCCTACAGATCAACGCGGGAACATCCACTGCTCTGGATAAAACGTGAATACACTAGAAAATTACTCAACCTAAATCACATAAAAAGTAATCGTAAGGATCAAATTGATAAAGTACAACAGAATATATTTTTTTAACACACAAAATAAACATCTGATATTTTTTAATCAAATATTTCGCAGAGCTGCATGTCCAAGGTGTAGGTCATGACCTTTGTTTTCTTTATATTGCAAAAATATTTATCAACGTAGAGAAATATTGAAAAACAAAAATATAACTTTTCTCAGAAACTTGAATTTTTAGGTCACCTGAGTTTACTCAGGTGACCTTTTGCTATCTGTTTTCGTCCGTCGGCGTGCGTCGTTCCTCGTGCATTAACATTTGAACATTTTCAGCTTCTTCTCTGGAACCACTTAACCAGTTTCAACCAAATTTGGCATATAGCATCTATAGATAAAGGGGAGTAAAAATTGTTAAATTCATGACCCCTTCCCCCCTTTGGCCTGACGGGTGGGACTAAAACCAATCAAAATAAATGCAATCTTTAAAAATCTTCTTCTTTACTCCTGAACATCAAGTAGTCAAACTGTTGGCATGATTGTAATAAGCATTGAGCCCTCTAACAAAATTGTGAATGTTATAGCTCCAGAGTTAGGGGTTCTGGTGCTAGGGCGGGGCTCTGTTGAATATATAGTGAAAATGCATTATTTCTTTAAAAATCTTCTCCTCTGCTGATAGGTATTAAGCTAACAAACAATATGCATAGTTATGATGAGTAAAGGTGCTTCTTCTAAATTTTTGAATTTCATGGCCCCAGGGTCAGGGGTTCTTGTGTTAGGGTGGGGCTCTGCTGAATATATAGTGAAAATGCATTACTTCTTTAAAAATCTTCTTCCTTGATCCGGGGTATTAAGACAAACAAACTGAATACATAGTTAGAATGAGTAAGGGTGCCTCTTCCTAAATTGTGAATTTCATGGCCCTGGGTCAGGGGTTCTAGTGTTAGGGCGGGGCTTTAATGATTACATTGTAAAAAATGCAATAATTCTTTGACAATCTTCTCCTTTTCTCCTGGGTATTAAGCCCATGAACTAAGAGTATAGTTATTATGCCTAAGGGTGTCTCTTCCAAAATTGGGAATTTTATGTCCCCTGGGTCAAGGTTCTAGTGTAAGGGCAGGGCTCAGGGCAAAGTTAATACATGATACTCAGGTGACCTATAAGGCCCGTGGGCCTCTTGTAAGTGTGTGTAGTCATAAACGTATAAAATACGCTGGTTGGTATAGATTTTTTCATGGCTTCAAATCGATAAAAATAAAATCTCATTGGTAATCTTTACTTGTTTTCCACATATTTAGGAAAGAGTGCAATTTATTTCTTTGCAAAATGCTAACAGTCTTTGATATTGCTGTGGGACGTTGAAATCGTTTAAGAAATATTTGCATAACACTCCATCATAACATTTTCGTTACATTATACAAATATATCATTACACATTCATGTATATATATATCTAATTCCTTTTGTCGTTTTAATCAGTTTCCATTTATCTGCTCGATTGATTTTAATCGTCTCCTTGTCTCCCGTAGTATTCCAGCCTAAAGGACAGACCGCATCTTCTCGGGCCTTTATGGCAAGCGCGGAAAAACACTTTAGCCGTTTTTCTGCTTTTGGAAAGGCCCGAGAAGTTGCGATCGTCGAAGAACTTGTCACATCTCTTAAAAAATAGCTATTTAAAGAAAACATATTCTCAACAACCATATTCATTAAAACCTGAATACATTGAACGTTGATCTAAGGATATTTTAAGCGATATTGAGAGTCAATATCGGATTTCGATGCCATACTGTTGTGACGTCATAGGCAAAAATACACTGATGATAATTGGCACACTGTTAACGGAAATGCAGCATTTAATTACGAAAAAGGATGAAAAAAATAATCCCTAACATGCTTTTTATTACTATAGAAATATTAACTAGTTCTAAGGTATAATCATTGATTAAAAGACAGTTCTGGAAATAATATTAAACAAGAAAATGCTTTCTTTGGTTGTAGTGCGGGAATAAATGTCGAAGCTATTGCCGGAAAATACATAAACCGCGTCAGCGCGTTATGTAAATTTTTCTGCAATAACTGCGATTCTTGTAGTTCTCGTACTAACGAACAAAGAGAGACATTTTATTGTTTATATTTATACCTGTTTAAAAAAAATCAATTTAAAGTAAAATTAAATATGTTTAATATTGTAATATTGATGTTCTTATCATTGTATGCATAAGTGATGGAAGAGCCATTGCTCAAGAAATCTATGCTGATGACTTGCTTAGTGTCGTTTACTGACTGATAAACGCAAATGGTTTTCATAAGAAATAAAGAAATAATATTCAGTGGATGTAATTGTTAACCGGACTACGGTATTAAAATATGTTAAGGTCAAGTTTAGACTGAACTTTTGATGCTAGATCCATTACGATATCATAATTGATTCAATTTTTTTTTTTCCCGTACTTTATGATTGTAATAGAATATTACTACGTAGAAAATGAAGCATTTTCAGGGAATTCAATTTGAAATCATGTCAAAAGTAACCCCTATACCTACTTTCAATTTAATATCATTTTAAAGTAGAGGTCAAGAAGATACGGAAAACCGTTTTCTGAGAGACTGTGGGCAATTTTGTTCTGGGATGAAAAAGAAAACTCCGAAATGAATACCTGACTTTCTTCATTTTTCATTCAAAATAATAGTTTAAATTTGTTTTTTCGTTGAATTTACCAAAAATTTATGTCCTGATACACCTTATTTTTTCAAGCTATATTATTAAAAGAACTCGTTTCTCAAAGAAAAATATGTAGGTACCTTTCATTTACTAGATCTTGACCTTAATACGTGTGATCAGATGACATATTACATTGTATAATACATTGGTGACAAATGACCGCTCAACCCTCGGATAAATGAGAGATTGCTTGTTTATTACACTGAGACCATACCATGGTATATGAGAAATATAAACATATTTACATATGTACGAAATACAAAGTCAAGTAATGCAGATAAGTATAATAATAGAATATAACTGACACAGATCAATACTGTATTTTATGTTAACAAATAAAGACAGGTTTTCTTATACATCAACACTAATAAATTTTTAAGTACTGGAGATGAAATCCCGCGAAAGCGGGGAAGTTGACTTTTTTCAATGGTGATTTTAACGATAATCATTTTAGCAGTTTCTACCGACAATTAATGGCAATTTGAAAGAAAGAAATACTTCAACTGATCAATGTTCGACATTCAGGGTCATCGTGCATTATTGTGGGAGCATTAGTCGACTCACTTTCCCCCCTTTTTTGTTAAATTTTGCGTTTCATATCTTATACATGTTACAAAGATTTCGTTTCATACCTTATGCATAGGCCTAATATCTAAATAGGAATAAGTATTTCGGTAAATATTGTATTTAGAAAATTCCAATTTTTGAGTAACAGCATTAACATTAGTAAAATGTGAAATCTTAGAATGGAAGAATGTGCATATCTTCATTAATAAGTATAGATTTACATGATTTTAATATTTCCTTTTAAGTTTTAAGTAATTAAAACACTCCATTACATAGTGGAATTCATACCCAAAGAGTTTTTATCACATAAAGAATGTAAATCCTTAAATATTTGATTGTCTATATTAAGCCATATGCATCTACCTGTTTCGATTGGAAGTTTAAATTTAGTAAAAAATAATTCCTAAATCTTTTTGGGTGATTACTCAAATATATTTCTCGTCCAAAACTGTTCTTAAAGTACTGTATGATTTAAGCATTTAGATGAGTTTTCAACAACCGCAAAACCATTCTTGCAAAAATGATTTAACAATGTTTCTTTAACAATAGATTATAACCATAGAATGATACAAAAACTGAATCATCATATGTTTGTCCACAGGAGTTCAGAATAGAGTCTCTAACATGCCAGTATTTCAGAACCCATAATCTGAGTTATGAGAATATCAACTCGGAAAAGAAAAACAATAAAGACAAAGATATTAGATCTACCTTACCTTTTCTATCATTTATAATTAATTTCCAAAGATTTTTTTTTTCATATCAGACTTGCATTAACGCGTGATAAGTCTACTGGGCGTCAGAGTGAAGTAATCTGATAAGCATATCAGTAAGACATCCTTAGATAAAATGGAGAAGTCTCAGTAATAAATCTTAAGGTTTAATGTATTTGATGACAACATCAAACACGTTAGTGGAGATACGGGTTAAAATGGCCCTCTAATTGCATCAAAGCTTACATCTTGATTAACCTATTTTTGGTGTTATTTTTGCTTGATCGTCTTTAGTGGAGTATTTATAAATGTTCAACATGTAAGCTTCTTTTTCATTTCATCTTTAAAGAGAGCTAATATTTTGAAAGAAAATTTCATGAAATTTAAAAATTCATTATTCCAAACAATTTTTTTTTCAGACTGAATGTGTAGAACTTAAAGCAAACATGTATGACAAAAATATTTAAAGTATTTTTAAATGTACAATGTTAATTTCGACCATTCTACTATAGTCCCTTTCTATAACCTAGATACTTCCCTATATGCACTCTCTAGTATTGGAGGTTTTTATATTCCGATAAGGCAAGTTGCTGCTGTAGCGTCAAACGTCAAGGATATTATGTAAAATCATTAAAAATGGAATGTTTTGATGGAATGAGAAAAAAAACTAATTGAGTTTCTTAAAAAGTGTGCTCAACCAACTTTTGGAAACACACCCGAACTTATACGGAGAGCAAAGGGCGCAAAGGAATTATGGTTAGATCTAGATAACGACGTAGACTGCGGTGATTCGGAAGTTCTAAAGGAAAAAAAATAATCACACCGCTTGGTGAAAAAATTGCCAGTACCGTCAAAGCTAACGGAAAGCTGGGTCTCGAACTGCAATTAAAACATGATTATGACGTGAACCTTTTGTTTGTATTGTCCATTCTATAGCTTAATGTTGAGTCAACTCCCAAAACAATCCTTTAAGTCACCTGTAAGTGTCCATTCTTTTGGAAAACTGCCCATTCTTTTAAGAATGGACAGCTTTTTCAAAAAGAATGGACAATGAAAACAAACAAAATGGAGAGTTACAGGTAAACTTAGGAATGTACCCAAGAGGGAAACCAAAAAAAAAAAAAAAAAAAAAATGCAAAACATTCGATTTAATTTACATGTAAATATCAAATAAAAACCGCTGAGATTTAAGTTAATCTAGAGCACGGTGTTGAAATTGAAACATTTCCAAATTTGATTTGAAATACATTTTCAAAATTGTATAATATAATTATGATAATTATTCTTGATATATGTAAATTTGTAACATTTTCTAATGCACAATATTTGTATATCCACTTGCTTGTCAGGTAAAAATGTGTTCAATAAAGGTACGTTTCATTGCCGTAGGAACCGGGGTAGGGGGGAGCACAGGGGGCCAATTATTTTGCCGATGTATAGATTATTATAGAAAACATATCTACTTTATGCTTATGCCCCCTCAATAAAAACGTCTGATAACCTTTTTTATTTAATGTCAATGAATTTTTGGTAGTTGATAGTGCCCCCAACTGAAAATGTATGGCTATGCCCCTCCCCCCAAACTGAAATTGCTTCCTATAGGCCTGCGTGTGCATGAACATATTATTGTACATTTAATAAGAAATGTTTGAGAATAAAGTACCAGGTGTCCAGATACTTTTTCACTGCATTTTGCATCATTTTGCAGCATTATTGTACAAAATTGTGGATATAACAGTAAAAATGCACACCGGTAAAATTGCTCCAACTTTAAAAGCTTGTGAATGGATTAAACCACGTAGCAGAAATCTTTCACCAAAAAAGGCACATGGCTTTCAACAAAAAGAAAAAAAAAGACGGGGAGAAACAATCGAAGTTCATAAAGTGTCACGAGAAATATCTAGACCTAACCTTACCATCTATTCAAGTTTTTAAAGAAAAACTTTAAAAAATAAAATGAATGGCTGGATGGCTAAACAATTTCTTAACTTTTGAAACATAACCCCCAGGTGCAAAAGCAATACCCGAACCCGAAGGTTGATCTTTTTTCAGAGGAATGTAAACAACAATTTATGCAATATTTTGAGTCTCTTCAGGTTTCATCAAAAGCGTGTGAAATTATACATGAAATGACTAAAGGTCACCACATCAACCCAATCTGGAGAGAAGCCAGGTATGGGCGACTTACTGCCTCAGACTTTGGTAAAATTGTACGGAGAAAACCGGAAACTACCTGACAATTTACTAAAGTATATTCTTGGATACTGTATATCTTTTTCAAACAAGGCAGTTGAAAGGAGAAGAGAGCATGAAAAAGTTGACATTGACTGCTACCTGCTCAAGTTGAGGGAGATACACCCACCACGTACAAGGAGAAATGGCTATCGTTTTTCATACAGTACCTCTTAATCTAGTACATTGTAACAAATTTTAAATAAGGCCAAAGCTCCTTGCAATGATACAAGTACATGACGCATTTAAAAACTCTATTTTTAACAATAAACATGAACTTGTAGTTTTCTGAATCTATTTAAAGGTCGAATTTTAAAAAAAAGAAGATCTTTTGCAGTGCAAATAAATGAAGTCGTTCTTTTTCATCATTGCTATGATCTTAACACTTGATTTCTTGGTTGATTATGACATACCGAAGTATAAATAACGTAAAGATGTACATTATTTTTTTTTATTAATTAATCAATATAATTATGTACAAGTTTTCCTCCACATAGGCCGTATGTTGCATAATTGCTTTCAAACAATCAAACAATGACGTATATATAGATTGCATGAGATTACACACAACAAACACTATTTTAGACATCTTGTCTTGAAGTGTCATTGGAATTACACCTTATTCCAAAGTGTATTTAGCGCCAAATTTCCAGAGATTATCCGAGAGTTACCTCAAAAATTTATTCTGAGCATATGTTTCGTTATTACAGCAAGTAATGGGAAATCTCAAATACTCATGGATCCCTTTCGAAGTGGGGACCACTTTCATAATGCAGACCTGTTTACCTATGTTATATTGTCTCTCAGTATTTTTTATTAGATTTGGCATTTGCCAATAAGATCTCTCTTTCCATAGATTAGAGATATATTACTAAAGAACAACTACATTTCTTATTACCAAATCATGGTTAAACAACAAAGAAAAACATCATACCTTGCTTTCTTTTTTTAAACCAACGCTTTTTGGCAACCCGACACCACTGAAGTATTTGAAATCTTTCCCTTTTTCAGCGATTAAAAAGCGTCAAACTGAGACATATCACAACAAAAACTTACTGCTAAAATCGAAACAAACGAATTGTCGATTTCCGTATTTTCATACATGTAATAGCAAAACGTAAGACATATTCTGGACTCAAAATCAGTACAAAATACGGCGAAATCGTAAGAGTAAACAGGTCTGATAATGTTAAGTCCCCGAGGGCTGAGTTTGCCTCAGTATCAATATTCTAGATGAGCTCGAGAGGTCGTTTCAAAGCAGAAAGTTAAAAAAGAGATCAATTAATTGAACCTATTTAATGGTCAATGTATTTATGTATTTTGAGATTAGGTGCAAAAAAAGTTAATGGCGTTGGTACTTTGGGACGAACAGATTCAATGCAACAGCTATATTGGCCGATCTGGGGGTGGAAGGGGAGGAACCCTCGCTTTTTTCCGCTGAGTGGAGAGGAGGGGGATAGGAGGAAAAAACTTTCCTGGAATAGTCGTTTTGAATGAAAAGGTCGTTCAAAACAGCTTGATAGGTCACAGTCTCTGCTCATATTTCACTTGCTTTTCATTTACATTTACTATTCCTCCCTTACACGGTTTTTTATGTTAAATTCTTCACAATTTGTCTATGTTTTTCTTGGAAATATTGCAAATCCATTCAAAATTAAAGCTACAGCAGTTTTTGGAATGTGTCTGTTTTTTATTCGGACTGTAGGGTACCTTTTTCAAAGAAGGAACGTAAAACAAGGATTTTATTTACAACGGCCTAAGATGACCTTTTCTCCTGTATGTGTGAACTGAGTGTGTGTTTCTGTGTTTCGAGGGGGAGGGGGGGGGGGCACCTGTTCTTTTCACATCAGTTGATGGTCTCTTATTGTGCTCCTTTAATAGCCGAACTGTTCTTATAACCCCTTTCAAGCAGAATTTCTTCAAATGCTTCTAAATCACAAGAAGAAAATACTTGCTGTGGTATTCAACTCCATATCCAGATATATCGACGACATTTTGTCTATTAAGAGCCATTCTCTGTAACTACTTGAACTTTTATATAGAAGATGTGGCACGCATAGTCTCAGAATTTCTCCAAACTCTCTATGATAAAAGTCTTTGATATCGTAAACTCAAATCAGGCAGAAATTGGTTGCTACGTGACATGGTTACCATGGCAACATGTCCTAAAGTGTGAAAAATGGCATTTTTCAACATGTTCAGAGTCCCACAGTTAACGTTTGCAGCAAAGCAAACAAGTGGTAATGATTGTTTCTGAAAGTTGAAGGCCTGATGTCTTAAATGCATGATAAACATGTTTGGTAAATCAACTATTACATACGTTACTACGGAAACAAAGTATAAAAAAAGTAATAATTTTGCTCATTTAATTTCATAACATCATACACTTAAGAATAAAAAAAAATTATAGGTTAAAATACAAGCAAATAATAGACAAAAGATCCTTGTAACATATACCATGGAAGAAATATGATATTTCTTATAGGTTGGCAATGGTTGCCATGGTTTTAATACCAAGAAGGGATTTTAAATTTACTCTCTTAGTGATTAAATCTAATCCTATCTTTTTAAAAAGCATATTTCTATATAACTTATGATCAATTTTTAAAGATGTTCATGTGACCCTAATTCTCACATTTCAAAAAATGCAAATTCAATTCTTTAAATAGAGCGTTGCTATGGAAATAAGCCGAAAAAAATATGCATATAAATCTGAAAAATATTCTGTTTCCTTGGATACGTACCCTTGTATGTAGATTCCCAAAACTTTTATGATTGGTAATTATGAAGAACTAACCTGACTTTCAATTTTGACTGCCACCCAATCTCTAACTGGATGCAAAAAGCTGGCACATAGGGTTTAATATTGATATAAAATTAACAAAATCGAACATTTTCCCTTCTTGGTTACCATAACAACAGTGTTGTATTTTTCAACAAACGTTATCAATATCTGATATTCAACTTTAGTTTTACCAGATAAGTACTATTCAAGGTGAGTCAAATAATATGTTTCTTGAATAAAAGGTAAGTAAATTCCTAAGGCAGCAAAAAAATTCACTTAAAACAACTGATACATTGTTTCCATGGTTACACCGCAAAGTAACAATTAATCTCAATTTTTCTTATGTTGTCGGTGTTGCAAGGTCCTAAGGATATGTATGTGCCAGTCATGAAATTTATTGTTTTTCCTGAAGATAGTAGCATTAACCCAATCTTAGCAACACATTTTGGATGGTAACACTGTGTTACCATGGCAACCATGAAAGTTATTTTTAGATTAATATTGCCAATACCTAATTACTTAAGGTCAAATATTTTTATTGTTTTTTCTTAGGTTGTTGATTGAGTTTGATCATTTAACACCTATCATTAGTGAATATTGAGCGTTTTTCTGCATTTTTCGGCATCTAAAATGTATTCCAAATGTACCCATGGTTACCACTTACTTAGAGATAAATTCTAAATAGTTTCTTTATAGCATAAGTGGCAACAAGGTTTCAGGTTTTGGGGAGAATGGTTTGTCTGTTATTCTAATTCTTTATTAAGGCTTAATAAAGATTCAAAGTAGCTGAAAATCTCAATTTTTTCAACTTTTCTGGCTGTTACCATGGCAACTAAGACACATAGCAATGAAATTTTATTTGATATATGTTTCTGGTGTCAAGTTGTAATAATGGGCAAAGTTTCATCAAAATCCGTGACCATGCGTGGCAAAGTTTAAGTGGTTACAGAGAATCGATATTAACAAATATCAATTCCATTCATATGTCGACTCGATATATCCGAATTCGAAATAAAAGACACCACAGCGCCTGGCACCTCTGTTTTATATTTGGATGTTTTACTGACTATAGACGATATGGACCAACTAACAAGTAAATTGCATCACAAACGAGATGACACAACTTTTGCATCATCAACATTATTTATGAAGTAATATTCCACTTTCACCTACATATGGAGTATATGTGTCCCAACTTATTCGATACCCAAGAGCATGCACTGAGTACGATCAAGGCTGGCTTAAACCATGACAGGCTTCTGTATGAATTTTAAAGGCGGATTCCGCCTGGAATATGGCTGGAATCTAGCAGGAATTGGCAAATCCCGGTGTAGCATAATATTTTGATACCACGATATATTGAACCCGGGTTCAATATATCGCATAATATTTTGAACCCGGGTTCAATTTTTCGCTGCGATATAATGAACCCCCTTATAAAATATTGAACCCTTTGAGTTCATCATATTATGGTTATAATATATTGAATCCATACCCTTTTAATTTAAGAGGGAGGGGGCTCAAGATATTATGATCATAAAATATCAAGTCCCCCTACCCTTTTATTTTAAGAGGGAGGGGGTTCAAGATATTATGACCATAGAATATTGAGTCCCCCTACCCTTTTAATTTAGGAGGGAGGGGGTTCAAGATATAATGACCATAAAATATTGAGTCCCCAACCCTTTTAATTTAAAAGAGGGGTTGGGGGTTCAAGATATTATGATCATAAAATATTGAGTCCCCCTACCCCTTTAATTTAGGAAGGAGGGGGTTCAAGGTATTATGACCATAAAATATCGAGTCCCCCTACCCTTTTATTTTAAGAGGGAGGGGGTTCAAGATATTATGACCATAAATTATCAAGTCCCCCTACCCTTTTATTTTAAGAGAGAGGGGGTTCAAGATATTATGACCATAAAATATTGAGTTCCCCTACCCTTTTAATTTAAAAGTGGGGGGTCAAGATATTATGACCATAAAATATTGAGTCCCCCTACTCTTTTTATTTAGGATGGAGGGGGTTCAAGATATTATGACCATAAAATATCGATTGCCCCTTCCCTTTTAATTTCAAAGTGTGGGGGTTCAAGATATTATGACCATAAAATATTGAGTCCCCTACCCTTTTAATTTAAGAGGGAGGAGGTTCAAGATATTATGACCATAAAATATCGAGTCCCCCTACCCTTTTATTTTAAGAGGGAGGGGGTTCATGATATTATGACCATAAAATATTGAGTCCCCCTACCCTTTTAATTTAAGAGGGAGGGGGTTCAAGATATTATGACCATAAAATATTGAGTGCCCCTTCCCTTTTAATCTAAGACGGAGGGGGGTTCAAGATATTATGACCATAAAATATTGAGTGCCCCTTCCCTTTTAATTTAAGACTGAGGGGGGTTCAAAATATTATGACCATAAAATATTGAGTGCCCCTACCCTTTTAATTTAAGAGGGAGGGGGTTCAAGATATTATGATCATAAAATATTGAGTCCCCCAACCCTTTTAATTTAATTGGTAGTGGGTTCAAGATATTATGACCATAAAATATTGAGTTCCCTACTCCTTAAATTTAAAGTGGGAGGGGGTTAAAGATATTGTGGTTACTTTTCAAAATTCACAACGAAGTTGGGGGGGTTCAAAATATTAGGTTGACAAAATATTAACCCCCATCACACACAGGTGGTAAGAAAAGTTGGAGGTTTCAAAATATCATGCTTGTTAAACGCAGGAGGGGGGTTAATATTATTATGAACATAAAATATTGATTCCCATACATTTTTAATTTAAGAGGAGGGTTCAACGTACTATGGAAGCAAAATATTGACAGCAAGGGGAGGGGAGTCAAAATGTTATGCTTGTTAAACACAGGAGGGGATTCAAGACATTATGACCATAAAATATTGATTCCTCTACCTTTTTAAATTTAAAGGGGGGGTCAAGATATTTATGTGGCAAAATATTAACCCCCACAATTTTTATTTAATTTAGGGAGAACAAGTGGTGTCCCCATGTAGTCTTCTTCAGTTGAAAGAGGGGGTCAAAATATTTTGACCATAAAATATTGATTCCCCAAAAATTCTAATTTAAGAGTGGGGTTCAAAATATCATAGTTGCAAAGTACTGTCCCCCATTACATTTTAGTGGTGAGGAAGAGGGAGTTTTAAAGTATTAATTATAGGGCCAAAATAAAAAATAGGTTTGACATTTCGTGAATTAAATATACCA